CAAAAGAAGAAAAAATCAAAACACAAATCGTACTAGGTGAAAACAACACCTTATTACGCGACTACCGCAACAAAACGGAAAAACGGCAATCCGGCTAGAACCATCGGTAGCACGCCCACGTAGTTGAGGTGGCAGGATACACCAAAAGCGGATTTTGCCGGAACAACTGCAGAGGAAGCCTTCCCATGTCAGCATGTGAAACTCACGTGCCTCCATGTCTCCATCGGCAAGTAGCATCTCCGCCACTCACCCATCCAAATGATATGTCACTCCTTAGAGAGCAAAGCCCCTGATTCGCAGCCTCTTTTGCCGCCACACGCACGCCGCAATGTCATGTCTCGCCTCAACCCATCTCCCACGACTGCTCCTCCATATGTAATCCCTGCTCCTGTTTATGCTTTGCTGAGGAGATCGAGGCATGGGGTGTGTAGATGCACCATCAAAATGGTGGGTTCCTCCACACATCTTACCAGTCTCCTCCTCGTCTCTCCACGCAGCTAATATCACCCCTTCGGCCTAAACCATGATGCTCAATCCTTCATTTTGGGCCGTGAACTTAGAGGCCAACTTGATGGCTACCTCCGAGTTCTGGCCCTAAGAAGCACTCAAGTAATTCTGAAAAAATTAGAGAGACTTTTAGAGAGAGAAAAAACTGAAATGACTTAGATGTTTTCTTATATCTTCTCATTTGAGTTGTAAATTTGGGCCGGCTCAAACGGTTAGTTTGAAGTCTGTTGGGTCGAGTCGAGCTAAAGTTTTAAGCTCAAAAGATTATGTGAGCTCGCCCGGTCGGCCCGAACACTCTTTTTCAAATTTTTTTTTTTAGAAAATCCTTATAAAAATTTTAGGCCAACTTTAAGTTGGTCAGACTTTAGAACTGAATTGAGTCGACTCTTCTCTTTTAAACCAGGCCGGCCCGCTTCATAATTTTCATTTAAACTCGGCGACGTGATCTTTCACCTCTACTACCAAGTCCCAAATTGATCAACTTATTATTATTATAATTATAATAATTATAATAATAATAATTATTATTATTATTATAATTATTATTATATATTTTTTTGATGCAAAACGTGCTCAACTTCTATCTAGTATCTACCAAGACTCTCCTTATTATGTCGCTAAAAAAAAGATTGACATTAATCTATAACAGTGGTGTAAGTTCGGGCGGTGGGCATGCCGTGCTCGAAAATTTTCGGGCACGGCGGGCATGTGCCATTCGCCGCCCGTCCGAGGTATTTTGTCAAGCACGGGCTCAGGTTGCCCGAAAAAGTTCATTCCCTAGCTGCTCGCCGCTGTGAGAAGTCATCCCCCGCCATCCGCCGGATTTTTTTTTGAACTTTTCGGCGTAACCCGAATTTTGCCCGAATTTTTTTGGCCGTTAGCCCGAATTTTACCCGATGCTCGAAAATGCCCGAATTTTTTTTACCGTTAGCCCGAAATCCGCCTGAATTTTGAACCCAAAGGATCTGTTTGCCCGAACCCGACCGCCGCCCGATTTTTGCGCGAAAATTCGAACCCCAACGGCTATATTTTTGACCATTGCCCGACTTGCCCGAATCCTGCCCGACCCAACCCGAGTGCCCGAAAATGTTACTAGCTGTTGGACCCAAATTTTTAGGGGAAAACTTTTTTTTTCAAGCCAAAATTTTTCCTATAAATACCACCCCCCGCTCCAACCATTTTCCTCACCTAAAAACTCTCATTCTCTCTCAATTTCTCTTAATCTCTCTTAATCTCTCTCAAATCTCTCTTAATCTCGCTTAAATCTATCTCGATCTCTCTTAATCTCTCTCAAAGCGCTCTCAATCTCTCTTATTTTTCATAATGGCTTCTTCTGGTTATGGTGGTGATATTCCCATTAATGCCCAATTCAACATCGAAGAAGGGCAATTTCCTAATGTTTTTCAAACGCAGGAATCGCAAACTATGGAAAGAGTTGTTGAGGAAACTGCAAATCCGACCCCTGGTGGATGTACTAGAGGTCGGGGACGTAATGGTGGTGGCACTGGTGGGCGTGGAGGAGAGGCAAGCGGTAGTGCTAGTGCAAGTGTTGCAAGTTCTAAGAAGAAATGCAAGCGCACCTCAGCAGTTTGAGAGCACTTCAACACATTCGAGGAGGTCGACAATTACAGTAACATTAAATACATAGCTCAATGTAAATATTGTGGTGAGAAATTACAAGGTAATACTATTCACGGCACTACACACTTAAGAAGAAACTCTGAAAAGTGTCTTCAAAAGTAAGGAGGCAGAGCTGATCTCCGCCAAACGCAATTATCGTTTGACTGCTAAACCGGTGGTCTAAGCACGTGAAAATACGATCCGCAAGTTGATCATATGGAAATGACATGATTAATAGCCACATAAGATCAACCACTAAGTTTTACTGAACAAAGAAATTGGCAGCGTTATATTAAAATTATACATAATCCTAATGCACAAAATTTTTTCTAGAACTACTCTTAAGAAAGATGCATTAAAATTATATAAACAAGAAAATGAAGCATTAATCAACTTTCTATACTCTACTAGTGGTTGCGTTGCGTTAACGGCGGATATTTGGTCCGCCGTTG